ATATTTACAGTAATCAAAAGGCATTTACGCTGCAAGGTGAATTATAATAATAGAGGGGCACTTTCATGCAATATTCATTCAATTAATTAAAAAAAACTAAAACGCAACCTAATCTAAAGAAAAAAAATGCTTTAGTTTTATGTTTGTTTAATCCCCGGAGGTTGTGGTCACAAAGTATTGGTATTATATATATTAATTAATGTTTACAAATTACAAGACCTTCAGGTAAGGGATCGTTGGATCTTGTCATTGAACGGGTGTTCTGTTATTATATTTAGAATACATGGATGAACACGAGGTCGACGTCCAATGAAGCAGACTGATTACCGGTGTACTATCAAAATAAAACTTCTTTTAAAAATTACAACTAACTAAATAACTGGAAAAATGAAAATGATGTGCCTGACCCACAATGCGTCGATCGGCCGACAGTCATACATTATTTGGACCGACGTTGTTCGCGCGCCGTGTAATTATTAAAATCGCTACACTGTCGCTACAGCGTTTTCCGTGCAATCGTTGTAGTGCGTAGTCCCCGACGCAATCGGAAGGCTCCCTGTTAGACCGATCAATCAACATCACCGAAAGCTGGCGATAGAGTGTAGCGATTGTATGGACACCAAGCTTAAGCGCTTGCCAGACGCAACACAGATCCGTTAATTGTGAACGTCGTTGAAAACGATTCGTAATGTGTCCGTAATGTGACTCGTTGCGGTCCTAATTGCGTCAGCTCCCGAGAGGTACCTACACATTGTTTACTCATAAAAATAATACGATAGATATATGAATACAGTATAATATGATGATATTAATAATGTCTTTGTAATGTCCATTCGTTCACGTTAACCGAAGGTTCATCGTTTTGAAAATTGTTCAAAATAGATAGAACACGATAGGGCCAATATGCTAATCTTAAAGTCTGTGGGGTTGGGAAATTATATGTCGGCTCTCACATACGCCATAATTAATTTTATGTCCGTATTTACTACCCTTGAAACCCTTTGAAATTGAACATAACTGCATTCAAACGCGAACCAATAGTACCTTCGTAAAAATTAACGGATCGTCAGCCGTTAAATCCACATTGCGGAACAGATCAAAGTTGTGTTTTATATGGTTAAAAACTATAAACCTTGTTTAACGATTTAGGCTTGAAAGGTGGGGTTATGTGAATAACCTACTACAATGCATGGATTTACTTTTTGTCAAATTCTAATGGTAGTGTTCTAGATTCTGCTGTGTAACCATTGTGGCTCATGAAGAGCATGTTAGAATTAAAGCCGGGCACTCAATGCGCCCGACTGTTGTCGGCCGACGGTTGAGAACGCAATGCCGCGACACGACACGCGCTCCGTTCAGACTGCCACCGACAATCAGCAAATGGCGGCGCGTCGACTGCCGCTCACAGGGAGCAGATTTGTCGTACGACGCAGAGAGTGCCCGGCTAACAGACTTTAAATTCATGTTATATTCATAATATCCTAATTTACATTGTACTGTCCAGCATTATGATCGCCTGTTTAAGTTGAAGTTCTTTAGATAGTTAGTTCTTTATTTATTTCACACACAAATAACTGAGACCAGTCAATTCTGGCTTATGAGTGAAAAACTGGACATATATATATGTATATATATATAT